CCCCACGCTCCCGCGGCCAATCCTGGCGGCGGCGTCCTTCCCGCGGGCGTTCGGTGCCGCCTTGAGGACCAACGCCACGGCTCGCTCGCACGAAGAAATCCCAGCCTCTGCCCTGAACAAAAACCATCGCAGTATCAGCCACGAGCTATTTTAAGACGCAGCCTACCGCAGCTGGCTTCATCCCTTCCCTCACGGAAAGCCAACGCGTTTCCGGGCAGGAGCTGCTGAACATGTCAGCAGATGTCGGCCAGGTCCCCGTTTTCGCCCCGCTAAGGCGGTCTTCAATGACATTACCTGCGTTGCAGCTGTCTGGGCTGGTTCGTTCGCCGAAAGCCGCCGGTGGAGCCACCCGCCCAGCTCACGGGGGCTCACGGGGGCTCCAGCCTTTTCCTCCTGCTGCTGCTTCTCAGTATAGCCCCCGTGCGCGCGTTGGGTTCGTTTTAGCCGGTGCTGAGAGCAGTGTTGCTTAGCAGTGGTTTGGCAGAGGCCCAGCTGGCTTAGGGAAAAGGATTCTCTGTTGCTGCTTTTGTCACTTTAAATCAACTCTTTGCCCCTGCCTATTCCTTTGATATTGGGTACCGGATTACCTCGTTGCCTTGCCGGTGCCGAAAGCATCGGAGAAGTTGCAAGGGACGTTCCCAGGCTCCGACTTGCCCCGTGAAAGCCGAGCCGAGGCTGCGCCGTCCGGTGTTGTTGCCAAACGCCCCGCGAGACGGCGGCGATGCACGGGGAGCCCCTTGCCTCAAGGCGCTCAAAGGCAGCGGGGCAAACGCTGCTCCCCGCTGCCTCCCTTACTCTCAGATTTGCCCCCTTCCCTGTTTAAATCCCATTCTGAAGAATGTGCTTCGGCTTCAGAGGGAAAACTTTCCTAACAGCTTACAGGTGAAAAGAAACAGCGGTTCACTTCCTTCTGCGACTGAAAGCCAAATACTGCAGTTGCCCCTCGCTCCCATTTACTTGCCGCCTATTGCAAACATACCAGCTGCAAAAGCAGAAGCCGTTGCAAGTCCCTCTCCGACATGTTCAGAATCAGAAAGCCCCTCTCTCAGCAGGCTGGACTCACTCAAAGGGCGTATTTTGGCTTTTAAGACCAGTATGATCAGTACCAAGCTTGTGCTAGGGTTTGCTGAACTGCGATGGAGAACAGGGTGGCTCCAAGTTCAGCTGAGGGTGCTTCGCTTGCTCCTCACACAAGCTCTAAGCGAGGTTAGTGGAAATGATGCT